TATTTTATTCTACGCACTGGATGTACGGTGGATGTAGAGTTTTCGAAATGTAAGTATATCGTAGATTACTAAATTTACTCTGAACTGAACGAGTAAGAAATACAGAATCACTTCGGCGAAATCGGTCAACAACGATTCGCCAACAAAACACAGGAAAGCATCGTATTTGCGTCGCATAGTGCGAAAGCAAAAATACGGCTTGCTGCAGCTCATATTGGAAGGAAAAATCGAAAGAAGTCGTGGTATAGATAGAAAGGAAGCATCTTGGGTTCGCAATACACGCCAATGGACGGGCATAAGCAGTGTAGGACATTTGCCAACACCTGCAAGAGATAGAAATGGTTATTTACACCTACTCTTGTACACGATTATGAATTTTTAACAATTTATTACGCAAATCATTTTCAATACACGCACATCCGATAACGGATAGGCAGAAAAAGAAGAAGATTATTTTGCATGTTAGGTGTGGAAATCGATTCAAGTTGGTCCACAACATTTTGCAATGGACTCGACCATGACCACTGTTCTTTTGAACCATTTTAACGCAGCCATGTGTTTGTAGCTTGACGATCGATGCCGGCCTGCACAAAATCGAAACGTGTAGGTATATGTACGGAAAGATATGATTGTATGTGTGTGTGTGTGTGTGTATCTCAATCCATTGTGCAGATATACTTTGGTTTTTTTGTTCCCTTTCATGAAACCATGAATATCATGCAAAATTATTTTTACGTAAAAATTTTATTAATAAAAATTGTTTACATTAATTTGAGCAACGTAGCGATATAAAGAATCGTTTGCGTATAAACTTATCTACGTATAAAGTAAGGAAAATTTTATACTTTAATAAAAACAACTAGAAATTTATATTAAAGGAAAAATGAAAAACGAGTCGCATCGAACTATTTAATATCCTATACAGCCAATGGGTATGATGGAAATGATACCGTAAACTTACAAAATATTGGATCTTCGTTCGCAAATTTTTATCACTTACGAACATGAACAATACCGTAACCAAGAGAACTCTCATAGAATACATGCATCGTATTTTTGTACATGCCCGAGAAATACTTACTTGTAGATTGCTGAAGAAAATATTGAAAATTTTTCGGTTTTTTTTTTTTCGTAACTATTTCGGATATTTAAATATTGATGGCATATACACACAGGTATGCACACATTGTGTTCAAGGGAAAATCTACCCTACTCGCGATTTGATTTCCACGCAAACTGTCTTGATAGTCGCAATACTCATCTAATCGGCTAACCATGCCGATTAGCAGAATTGAAATAAAATTGTATTGGATTGCATACCAAGTGCCAGAGTACTTTGAGAACTTCAAATAATGGCAGGCAACCTGGACGAACAAAGTGCGAAACGATGGACAATCGTATGGATGGTTGGATGCTCGAACGACGACGTCAAAAAATGAATAAGAGAACAGATATACAGACGGGACAAAAAAAAAAAAACGAGTAACAGGTAAAACATAGCTCAAGATATATATATATATATATATATTTATAAAAATACATAAGAGAAACAAATCTTAGATGTCTGTTTCCTTGTTCTTGAATGCTGCAAACGGTATTATAAAACGTGTGGTAATCAATTTTCTACGTGGCCGAGTGTAATAAAAAAAAAAATTAATAGACTTTAATGGGATATCTTTATGCAATTTTGAATTATATTTGAAAAATTACCGAATTTTGAATTTCGTTTATAAAATGAATTTTCAGATTTTTGGAAAACGTTAAAAGCATGCAAGAAAAACTTATAGGTATGAATTTTCAACTTTTTTTTTTTTCAATATTCTTATACTCACTCACCACTATAAGATGGAGGTATACTCATTTTGATTTTTCCCATAATGTATCAACCCCAGTGACCCTATAAAGCATAAATTCTGAGTTGTATGATGTGTGTTGTTGGCACCTTCTTGGTCGCATAAATAAACATATCGACTTCAAATTGGGTAGAAACATTGGAAATTTCTACACGCTAGTTGGTATTGAAAATGGGCCAAATCGCTCGGAGCGGAAGCGCACAGTGGAGCGTAAACTGAACGCATATCCGTTTTTTTTTGGTTTTTTTTTTTTTTAATTTTTTGATTTTTGCTCCTTACTCCGAAATTATTAAATTTAGAAGCCTGACAATTTTCACATTTATGTTATGAAACACTCTACTCTTTAGATCCAAAAATGGCAATTATCGGTCTATGCACACACAAAGTTACGCGTAATTAAATTTTACTTTATTCACATTTTTGAGGTTTTATCCATATTTATCTTAAGGCCAGTAAGACCGAATGTTTAAAACTATTTTGCCCATCCCCTTAAAGGAATATATATATTATCTGTCTGCCTAAACGTGAGTTAATTGTGAAATGAATATGGTAAACACGGTGATTACTTTGTTCTTAATAACATTAGCAATATGGGTATCAAATAAAAGAGCTTGGAGACTAGAATCCGAAAAATCTAGTGATGGTTGTTATGCGAGGTTCGTACTCCGCCGAATATAACTTTTTTACTTGTTATTACTCCTGTCAGGATTTGAAAACAATGTCCCTTACGTAACAGATTACAAGATATATTGAATCGAATGCGTTAAATACATACATGTCTCTAAAAATGTCAAATTATGCTTTGTAAAGTATATTTAGCGTACTTATAATCAAAAGGGAATCAAATAAATAACACATTTATTAAAAGCACTTAGTTTAGGGATGATGATGATGATGATTAGCGTAGAATTTCATTTATACCACTCATACATAACATAATTAACTGCATTTAATATTACTTGGGTGACATTTTAAATCTATTCAACAATGATTATCGCATTTTCATAGCAATTATTTCGAAACAGGTCAATTACAATGCTTTATAGTTCAACTGGATAGATATTTGAATTTTGACTTCCTCCACGATAGCTATATGAATGTAGCCAGTTGTGAATACAAATTTCAATTATATAATGATAGATAAGAAAAACTCTCAGAAAACTCATGAAAACTCTTTCTATTAACAACAGCACAGAATTAAACACCATTGCTGCCTAAGTTAAAGCAAGTGTTTAGTTTAGTTATGGTTTAATTGAATCTCCTAAAAATGTTTAAGTGTCTTATTCTGTGTCTTATTTTTTTCGATTTTAATTCGCAAAGAAAAGATTCAGAACGCCCGATATCGTTTTGATCTGTCCAAAGTCCTAAATCCCTGTAAACACAAATATCTATCTCTCCGAACTTATGATCAATCTTTTCATATTTGTATTTAGTTAACTTTCTCAAATTAAATTCAAACACGAGTAAGCACATTATAGTCGAGCAGGACTATGTATTAGATACGCTACACGATTTCGCCTAGCATAGTTATTCACTCGTTTTGGTAATAATACATCAAATACATCAGATATATCAAATAGGCGTACCTTCCGTAAAGACACGCATATTGAAGGATCGCCAAAATATCATACGACGTGATCCCAATTTAGCAGAGACATTTTACTTTCAAAAATTTTATTATTTTTCAGCTTCGGTCATAATAAACTCGAAATCAGACTTTCTCTTCTTACAAGGGTTTACTTTTGCTGATAACCCCTATATATGTTAGGATCGAAATATTCTCTACCATTTATTTGTTTTGCTAAATTGCTAATATGTACCTATTTTCATAATAAAATAATAAAAATTAAAGTTTTTTGCTAATTTGCTATTCATGAAAAATTTTACATGGAGTGGGTTCCAGGAAATAGACCTATGCGGTTCAAATTTGATGCATTTGATATCTATGTCAAATTACTATCATGAAGAAAGACTCATTATAAAATATTGACATTTAGGCCTTTTCGGCATATAAGGGCCTAACTAACTAACTCGTTCCCTTTTCACTTAGATTGCGAAATTGCAAAGTTAACCTTCACCAATATATTCATATTCTGAATATTAGTATATTCTATTTGTATTGCGGCGACCGGAAGGCTTAACATAGAGAAAATAAAAAGGAATAGCTGGGCGGGGAAAGAAATTTCATTAAGCGACTATGTTGACAACTTATGTTACTGTGTGAGGTAAACTTTCATAATCCTTTGAAATATTAATTAATTTAAATTCTTTATTAAAATGTTTTTCTCCGTAACCTCATAAAATCTTAATCGTAATCTCATAACCCTGAACTTGCGCTTGTTCTTGTGCTTGTGCTTCTAGGTAAAGGTATACTTTATGATTTATTTAATATTAACTCAACTAAAAACAATATGAAACGAACAACGATAACAACAACAACAACAACAAAAATCAAGGATAAATAATCCGTATATGAGTATACCTTTAATAAATGTACACATCACATCACATCAATTATTATTTGCGGAGCTATTCTCGATAGAAATGTTAATTTCATCATAATCTCTGATGAAAAAGCGAGATGTTTCTCATCCACCACTACACACCGCAAAACACGTATATGTGATAACGAGTAAGCCCTAACCGATATATATATTGAAATCAGGAAATATATATATATATATATAAATTTATATTTAATGTAAGCTAACGTTCACGCATTCGGTCAGCCTGATTTTCTGCAAACGATCTTCTTAATTTAGTTTGTAGGTTGAAAATTGAAACTTGTCATCCTCATTGCATAACATAAATGTACATTAAGAACCGAGAGATTAAGCCCTATGCCAGATATATATTATTTATTTGCTACAATATTAAAAAAAAAAAAAAATAGTCTTTCAAACATTTTCGAATATATTTTTCTCCTTCCAATATTGAGTTTATTATATATACTTACTTATATATATATATTCATGATATTAAAAGTGAATTTTAATTTAATTTTATTAGTGATTAAAATAATGTAAATGGCTGTAGTAGGTAATAGGTAGAAAAAGATTCATTGCGAATTGAATAAATTATTTCTCTTCTCATTTCATTCTCATATAAATCTTAAACAAAACATTGTATGATATTTTATATACATACGTATCGGTTACACTCATTACACATGCACACGATTTTAATTTCCTTGTCCTCATATAATGCAGTCATCTATAGATGGGTGAATAGGCATCGTGCCAATTATCATTTTTCCTTCATTGCTCTACGCTTGGCCACATTATTAATACATCGAATGTTCCTGGTTCGACCTAATTGATGCGCAATCGTAAGGGCACGAAATGGAAAATTTTTAATTTAACATTTAAAATTAACGTTTGAAATATTTTATCATTTTTGTACTTGACTGAGATCAACATGAAACGAACTGATGGCATATGGATCCACGGTCCCTATAAATTAGAAATGTCTTCCTTAGACATGCCTCTCAAATCCAAGATTTTCAGCAAAATTTTCGACTTAAGCTTAAATATAAGAAAATATCTTTTGTTTCCCTTCAATTTAAACAAAAAAAAAAAAAAAAAAAAAACAAAACATTAAAAAGCAAAGTAAAAAACTTTTTTGGATTTATTTGGAATCTTGTAATTGCTTAAGAAAAAAAAATCACTTGCTACAGTTGCCTGAGTGAACAAAAGAACAACAACACTCCTGATTGTCTTATTGATTGAGACTTAATATGCCATAGAAAAGTTGATTTCTCTCTGAGCATTAAGTGGGGAATAAGTAATAGCAACATAAAAAATTTTATAGCTACAAATGATCGAATATGGCGTTGTTTTGGTAAGAGCCTCTGTCTCCTGCATCGTTTAAATGCTATCGTAACAATTTATTACCAAAGGTACCTTCCATCTATGTACATGATTAAATCAAATTAAATTAGTTTCTCTTTCCTTTATTAGTTGAAAGGTTCCATTCAAAAATCTCAACATTAAGGAAATTTTTCCTTTCTTTTATATATATAAATACTTGAAATCATTTTCTATGGACACTTAACAAAGTGCCCTGTTTTCTTTCGTTCGCTACTATATGTGGCCTTTTGTTGACCACCGATTTTATATATCTCGTCATCTACCATGTTTTGTATATTATACGGATTACTTTATTTTTTTTTACGCATTTTTTTAAAAGAACTAGAGCGATAAATTATTATTATTATTATTATTATTACACTTATTTACACTCATTTGCACTTAGAAATATTATTACAGTAGGAAGAATGAAAGAGAAAGAGAGAGAGAGAGAGAGAGAGAGAGAGAGAGAGAGAGAGAGAGAGAAAAGTTTCACAATAAATATTTTAAATTCTGTTGTGTGTGTGTGTGTGTGTGTGTGTGTGTGTGTGATTGATTTTAAAATTCTTTATAGTTCATAGCAAAACAACGCATAAAGCAAAAACCAAAAGTCCGTAACGGTTGCTTGTGTTTGATGTCGCCTTTAATTTACATCCAACGAACGTAATCCCATAACATCGTAAAAACGCGTCTCATAAAAAGTTTGGTTTATCAGTTCTCACTGGCAAAAGGAATGCAAAATAAATAATAAAAAAAAAAAAACAAGAAACACCATGATTGGACTTCTCGAAAAACAACAAATTTCATTTTCTTGTAGTGTTCCAATAATAAAAAAAGTTTCGCAATAACACGCATAGCTTTTTTAGATCCTAATAAAAACTATATTTAGGATATTTTTGATAAAATTTCTTCCTTTTTTTTTTTTTGTATTTTTTCCCTTCAACAATTTTTTGCAACCATATCTACTCCTGAAATAGGATCAGCCGAAAAATCACACACACACACACACACACACACACACGCACACGCATACAAACATACATACATACATACATACAAACTCTCTGACAAATGAACATTCATGATAGGGCAGATCAGAATCGTCAAAATGATACCAGTGTCCACTTTAGCCTTTTACAAGCCCTACGCAGTGCAAATAGACTGAGGTTTATAGATATGACAATCCGTTTGAATAATTTAGGAAATTTAAAAGATTAACGACCTACGCCTATGTACCCGCTTTCACTGCCATATTGAATAATGTTTAAATTTACCTAAATATATCATTAGATGTTTGCAAAAATTTTGATCATTTTTTCACTTAAAAAAGTCATTTATTGTGAAGAATCGGTGCAATATATATATTAAACAAAATAGTTTCCATCATTTAGGCAACATGGCGTTATCATATCGAAAGAATTTATATTGGTTTGACAGCGATCCATCCATTAACCGAGTTTCGTACTTCTTCAAGTTTGCGGATCCACGTGCTGGCCTAGGCATGCTGCACGGATCTGAACATGTAATAATCAAGAGGCGCCATATCTGGCGAGTATGTTGGGTGCGGCTTAACTTACCTCTCGAGCTGCAACAGTGCAACCTGGACAACTCTTGCAACAAGTGGCGAAAAAATGACATTTCCAGTCAGTTCGCATCACCACTTTTAAACCAGCAATTGGGACATGATGGAGCAGCATCATCATAATCCTCTGAGTGCTTCATGATTAGCGTCGGCACCATACTATTATTTTATGTAGAGGAAGGTCAAAATGGTTGAATTCAACCGTTATGTTCAACGGTATGGCCATATCTTTATCATTTTTATCTTCGGAAATCGCTGATCAAAATTTTTGCAAACACCTAATATAATAAGAAAATGCGAGAATCATTTAAAAGATTCGTATATCATTTTTAAAAAGAAACAACGCTTATATGTGAGGGGAACCGCGAATATCCGATCATTCAGATGGGCAATATAACTGATCTTTATTCGTATGTTGTATATTAGAAATCGTATTACACTTTGAAAATATCGTCGGCAGATCGCATATCCGTCCAATGCGGAGGTGTGGGGATGTATGAACTCTGACCGTGGGCGTCGAGAAAAATATGAACTGAAAGGCCGAATCGAAGGACGTAGAGACATAGGGGGAAGCAAATTTCGTGACTGCAGTGGGCCACACACAACAAGAAGTCGAGAAAATTTTTAAGCTTTAGTTAATACGATAACTTAGTACACAATACCATATCATAGGATATGTCTGATCACTTGTAGCCAGTGATGGATTGCTAATAAAAGAGAAGATTGCGCCTTCGTTTCTTTTTCAATGTACGAGAATCTTGAATATATAACTCTTGGCTGCGGCCAGTGCTTATTCCTTTCTCCTTCCTTAATTATTTCTGACTGCCATCTTCTTGCACGTGTCGGTGACATCTTCTGCGGGATTTTTCATCTAAAAAATGAAGAATAATAGTAAAGTTGTTTTCATATCTTGAGATGTCCATCAATTCGTTTGCGGAGTACGTTGATATACGTCTGTCTTATTAAATGTCAAATCAAGTGTCAAATATATATAAACTATATTTTATTGATAATAAGGTTTTAAGATTTTCGATTCGTTTTGAGGTTGAGGTGCGTTCGATTTCGATCTCTAGACCAATGAGATTCATTTTGAATATTGTCACAAATCATACGATAGTAAGTCTTCTTCATTTATATCGTACGGCTCATCTAAATGGGGAATTATTTCTCATTTGTTGGGTTGGCAGCACCCTAACTGCCACCAGCTAACTATTAATTATTTACTAATTGGTGTTTGGTCACAGTATTATGCATTATGCTTTACTTTATTACATCTTAATTTTTGTAACTGTGCGCTTGTTGAAAACTAGCGACGAACCACACGTCCACTCTCGCCTCAGGTAAATTAAAATTTAAAGCTTACCTATAGTATACAGATTTCATGTAGACTAAGCAAAAAGACAACATTAGGATATTTCAACCGCTGGACGGTAGTCATGACATAAATTAATCCCATTCTGTCAATAGATAACGCACTTAACCGCACATGCAAGCAGATAAAATTGCTGATTATTTCACTTTTAGAATTTGATATTAATATATGTTCTGGCCATTTGTTTCAATATTTTCTATATCGTCTATGAAAATCATAATAAAAGCGATAACTGAGTTTTTCATTATACAGACAACAAGATGAGTAATACAAAATCAGATTTTTTCTTAACGCTTAAAAAACAAAAAGAGAAAAAAAAAAAAATGGCGTAAACTGTACAACAAAAACAAATATGAAAATTCTGTTCGTCTCAAAGAAAATCAACGCCGAAACGAAATCATTGGAAGACGCACCAATTGTTCTCAACGTATGAACGTGTCAGTTGACCAATCAGGACCATTTTGTCATTTGACCACAAAATGTTATTTTTTGTTTCAAAGATATTCGAATTTGAGTTGAGTTGTTTCGTTCTTTTCGACCCTGTGCGCTACATTCTCAGTGGAAAAGTTCGAAAAGTTATTATTATTATTATTATTATCAATTTCACCAGAGAAATAAATTCTAAGACTAAACTCTCAAAAGCACTAGCATCTAAGGCTATCGGCTTTTATCAAAAACTCTACCGCACTTGAGATTCGAACCCACGACCATTGACTTGCTAGTCGAGATTCCTCGCCTTTGGCTACTCAGGCGGATAAACGAAAAGTTAAGTTAACATCTTACAACCAAATCTCTTATCCCGATCATATTATAGTTTTAAAAATCTATTCTCATTTTTTCAAAAATATATTTTCAAGGTTGCCTTAAGGTTTCATTTATCGCGAATATATTTAAGACAAAATTCTATTTTAAATATTTGACAATAGGGTTTATTTTAATTTTGACTACGACATAAAATAGATACAGAATTAGACATAAGTCGACTCAGCCAGCATATTAAGTTAATCAAGAATTCCTTCCTTTTGTAGCTTTTCTGATGTAGATCGCTCCTCTTCTTAGTTATGTTGCATGAGAATATAAATCGTCAAACAATTCATATCAAGCGAAAGAAAGACTAGCTCAAAACCCGAAAAGGCGACGAGACTTGAACGTAGTGGATATTAAATTATTCTAATGAGGCAAACTGGCAGCGTCGATCGCATGTCTGAAGTGCTTAAGACAGCGGACAGATATCTTCCCTGAAGACAGTTAGAATTGTTAACGGTGATCGCTAGCAAGAAAAGAAGATCACATTGAATTAGACTCCGCAAAACACCAGAAGGATTGCTAACACATAAGCTTTGAAAACATGAAATCACCGATAGCTTTACTTTAGGTAACTTTCTTCTTCTGACGATGACAAATTAGTCAACAACCTGCAACTTGTCAACAAGAAGAAATTGAAGAAGTGTTTTTCATTTAAAAGAATCTCATTGTTAAGT